TATATCATCCTCGAATGCCCTAATCGTTGTTTCCCATGCGATTGATTACCGGGTGTGCGATGGACTTAGAATATGCAGATGACATAGTCCTGTTAGGGGAGGATGCTGACAACATCCAGCAGAGTCTTCTGAACACCTTGAGCAGCAATCTTCGTATGTCTGGCATGCGATTCGCCCCTACAAAATGTAAGATGCTGCTACAGGACTGGACCACGTCAACTCCTAACTTAGTGATAAGGAGTGAAGCGATAGAACATGTTGACCACTTCACCTATTTGGGAAGTTGTATTAGCACCAACGGACTGATTGGCGATGAAATCTCAGCACGGATCCGAAAAGCTCGAGCTGCTTCCGCTGACTTACACCATCTCTGGCGTAGGCGTGACATCCGGTTATCAACCAAGGGACGTGTGTACTGCTCAGCAGTTCGCTCCGTCCTTGTCTATGGCTCTGAAACATGGCCAATACGCGTTGAAGACATGAAAAGGTTGACTGCTTTCGATCATAGATGTCTGCGATCTCTGTCTCACGTTAGGTGGTTTAATAAGGTAAGTAATGTTGACGTTAGGCGTAGTGTTGGGCAAAGAGGGAAAATCAATCGACGAGGCTATAAAGTTACATAGACTGGGATGGCTAGGTCACGTGCTGCGCATGCCTAACCACCGCCTCCCCCGACGGGCATTGCTAGCTGATATAGGTGCAGGTTGGAAAAGAGCCAGTGGTGGCCAAACAAAAACATGGCCTCATCAATCCATGAAATCCTTGACAGTTAAACTGAGTCAGGTAGGGAGATGCAGACTCCCGGGTTGGGGGCCTCGGGACTCTAGGAATCAATGGGTGGAGACAACAGGTGACATGGCTCAAAATCGTTGTCAATGGCCAGCGCAGATGTATTCAGTCTCTGTAATCTTTCATATTCCTTTCTACCATTACCCATTCTGTTTCACTCTTATACTTGTCAAACTCTATTGATTCTCTTCACTCATCTTCTTGTCTACCTCTGTGTGCTATTTGGAACGTGGCACCGAAGTGCCACGTTCTATGTTGAATCCAGACAGACAGACAGACAGACATATGATACTCGAATACCGGGAAAGAACCAATTCATGTAAGTGGCACTTGTATCTGAATGTGAAATCAACAACCTGATAAATATCTGCAGGGATTTAGCTGAAGACTCATTTAACAAGATTCACTGATCAATTTCTTTACATATAAACAGCTTAGTCGCATTTTAAAAAAAGAAAGTTATTACACAACCCTGAAATATCTGAATTATTCAGACAGAAAGACAATTAACACTTCAAATCTCAATAAACAGATGAATGTGTAAATGCTAACACACTATCATCAAATGCACTACAAGAGAAAATTTACAAAATGCCTTCAGCCCATACTAAAAATACTTGTTAGCAGTAATAATAATGAAGTTATCCCCAGTATAGATTAGGCGCTGGTACTGAATGAACACAAATGCGAATCTAAACTTACTCTTTCTCACACTAATAAGTAGTGACAAAGTGATTTATTGTTATATAAAAGAATAAAATGGATCATTTCAACTGAAAGTAACCAACCAGCATTTTGCAAAGTTATTCAAAAGACAAGATTATGAGTGAACTAGTATTTGGACATATTTATTTAGCAAAACATGCCAATCAATTCTAGTCTTCATCATTCCTATCTTAAGATTAGATTAGATTCACAACACAAGGTTGGTTATTTCCATCCTGGAGTGTACAAAATACAATCCAAATGTTATTCAATCCTACCTACCTACCTACACTACCTAATTCATTATTCGTGATTTAATGTGCTCTCTCATAGGCACTGCATCGACCACTGAATTCTAAATTGAAAATTGTGAAAGACATCGCCTTTTCTGTCGTTACATTTTTTTATCCCTTTGTGTTCCCAGTGGAACATAGGGCGTCAAGCCAGCTACCTAGAGCTCTGGAGTTTCAGTAACTAATGTTGTTTGCGGGATGAGGCTGCTAGTCTTTCGCGTGTAACCTTTACTCTTCACCGGATTTACTACCAGATAAGATAGGTAAAGGAGTGAGCTGCCCGGGGAGTGCGGAGATCGAACTCCGGACCACTTAGCTTGGTCGGCGCTAGTGTCCTACTCCTGTGAACCACCGGTGTTATAACAATTTAGTTGACCGTTAATACAGTCTACACACTATTATTTATTTATTTAAACGTATAAAAACTTGGTACAATATGGCACCAAGAAGGATGCGCCACACAATAATAATAAAACAACATACATCAAAAGAAAAATGAAGAGAATATATATATATATAAGTAGAGAACGGAAAAAGAACATCTGGAAGGAAAACAGTCATGCTTAACAAGTTCAAACAGTACTCGTTAACTATCATCGAGAAGGGAAGAAAGAAGGAAGTTGCAACACGTGTAATAGCACGCAATGAGTTCCATTGATTGTTTGTTGCTTCATTCAATTCTTTGTGTGAGGGCTGTGATACTGCCCGGGCGCCCATACCGAAGCAAGTGGTTTTATTAAGGGACCACCCCTCGAGCCTCCGACTTGGAGTCTAATCCGAAAGGCAGCGGAGAAGCGTCAGGAGCTGCATTCCCATGGTTTCCGGTGACCCATATGGGTTCATACGCCATTCGATTCGATTGGACACTGGGGCTCATGTACCCCAAGGTAACTGCTTTTAGTTTAACCGCTATCCAAACAACCTTCCTGACATGGTAGGACCTGCAGGGACAGAGTCCCAGTCAGTTTAGAATGTTGGGTCGTTACGGTATTCAAGCCCGACCACCGCGACAAGGTAGCAGCTATCGGCCGGAGTCTACACACTATAAAGACACTAAAGTACTCATCACGAATTGAATTCAAGTTAAAGAACCCACGGAGTCTAAAGAGTACTGGATAGATGTTTCCTCGTTGTTTGAAACTTTTCGACAGTATGCACCCATGATTCCACCGGGGATAGGGCTGAAAGATGTTTAGGATACAAGGCGAATTGTGCATATCACTCAAGCACAAAGATAGAATACAATGGCCTACCAATCTTAACTTTTGTTGTTAAATTCTGACAAACAAAATTCAAATATTACTCGACAAATGACTGCACACGACTATAAATAAACCACACTTGAGCGGACAACGGTTGAAAACAGCACCTAAACCTAAACAGGTGAGTTGCGGCTCAAAAGCAAGACTCACCGACTGAAAGTCGACAGATACATAGGTCTTCGTGCAGTAATCTCTTCGCATTAATTACCTCACATCCCGGCAAAGGACTTCCTACCTACACACAAATGCTGGGTATAAGACAAGACACTTAATCAGTGGTCTTCCTGACTTAATTTCATCATTTATACGATGTCATATGACAACCACGTCTGACGATTACTTAGCCAGGGAAGGAACTTTTCAATTCTCACCTACCCTTAAAGTCTTTCACAACATTTGGTATAACAAATCCTCTTGAAACGCTGTCTAAAATAGCTCAAACTACGGATTTACCAGTTTGGGACTCATATAGCGTGGATTACGAGTCTTCATCTGTGAATAAGACATCACCAACTGCTCACATCATATTCGATACTCACATGCGAACAACTTCAACACATACAGAAAGTATCTCCCCCTCTATTCATAGTACTTTGAATATCCTACCTACTGTACGAAAGGGATACATATATACATATATATATAAATTTATGTACGTAGTAATTTCCCCGCCATATACCTCAGTTGAACCACCAGTCGGCTGACAAGATGTATAAAATTAACAAAATATAACTGGCTTAGAAAGACTTTTCTTACTACAAACAATTAAATTTTAATTTGTGGATGTTAACTAGTAGTGGAATCCAGGGTGCGCATTTCACTCTACTTGAAACTCGTCATCTGGATGTACCTGCATTCCTCAATCATTGAGTGATGGTGTTCCCATGAGGCTCGAACCCAGTACCTATAGTGTCGAACGCTGAAGCGTTATCCACTAGACCACTTGGGCCACTGCGGCCACCTATTGTGCAACCGGTCATATTAATTAAATTGAATTTTAGATTTCCCCGTCGATTGATTGAACCGAAGTGCTCCGTCGAAGCACCTGCACAAGAAGCCGACATGTCAACCTGAGATCGAGCACTTCGGTCCAATCAATCGACAGGAAAATCTAAAGTTCAATTAAACAAACAATTAAAGTTTGCCAGGAAAATACTAGCGAATATTTAGATTTTTCTCACAAACTCTCATTGACAGTGTTAACTACGCTCTATCAAAAAAAATAAACAACCAGTGCTATCTCAATATTGTAACCTCTCCGTCTTAAGGGGTTCGTTTAAGTACTGGCAAGTACACATGACAAAGTCGTATCATACAAATATTCATATAAAAACAAAAAAGTGAACCTTTTCACTAACTAATAACCATATCTAGGCAATCACTAAATGGTTAGTAAACAGCTGAAGATTAACTTTAACCTGTGTAAAAATTGAACTAACTTTGTTTTACAGACTTTAATCTGATGTTGAGTTATATATATGCATTAATTAAGAACATGGATGCATCCAAAAAAACTTTCTTCTAATCAAAAAAAATTGTTTAGAGAAACAGTGAAACGCAAAATCAATTAAACGAAATGCATACATAAACTATAGTCACCCAACGAAATAAGGCATAAAGAGACATTGTGTGTGTGTGTGCCTTTACGTGCACAGGCGGAAAGAAAAGAGGGATTATCTGTTGCTGGGCGACCAGTATTTAAGACTATTCACAAGTGTCAAAGTCCCGATAGCAGTAATATTAGATGGTAGTCATGTAAACTGGCATAACCCACAAAGACATCGGTCTTATAGGTTATAATACAGAAACTTAAACTATGTACATTGTAAAAGTAATTACGAAAATTACACAGGTCTTATAATAGAAAAGTATATAAGACCTACAAAGGAATGGATATGTTCGCAACAGCAAATGTGGGAGTCAAGTCTGAGGTCATAATTTTCCCGACAACTTAAAAAAGAATGTTGTTTTTTGGGGATTCCAACTGCTCAATCTCCTCCAGGGTTTTGGCTTTGATCCCGCTGAAGTTCGAGTCAACCCCAGATGGTTGCTTGAGTTTTTCCAATTCCAATAGCTGAGAAAGTAAACTTAGACTGCCATTATTCGCTGGAGAATCGTTGGCTTTAGCTTGTTGCTGCAAGTGAGGATTAAAAGGAATGGAGGATGCTAGTGTTGTAGTGGGAGCGTAAAGTGGAAATGAATTCCCATAGTTCTGTCTATGACTGGACAAAGAAGCTGGAGAATTATTCAATAGGTCTGTTTCGATATTGTTTAAATACTGTCTCAAATTCATATTGACAGATTGACGGTTAGTTTCTGAAAAAACAAAAACCCGGAAATTACTTTTAAGTGATATATATATATATATATATATATATATATATATTTCAATAACAGCGAAAAGTAATGGACTAACTGCAATAAGACCTCTAAACAGACTTTTTACAACAGTTCCCTTGATTTCAATACCTTGAAAGACAAAGTATGGCTTTTCACACAAATAAATTCATAATCCTAGGAAGAAAATACCTATTCAAAGTTAGACTTTGTAGGCTGGATATCTATTATTGCCAAAATAATAGTGATTTACCAACGGTTGTTGGGTTGTCTACTGTATATGCCGCAACAAATTCTAAGGCGATTTTAATTATTACCTGAATTAAAATTGCATGGACTACTGAATAAATGGTTTTGAGTGGGAACGGTGTAAGGGCTGTGTTCACGTTAAACAGTCTTAGTAACCAAAATTGCTCATCGATGTTGGCATTGGCTCAGTATGCGTAACAGGTGTCCTAGCCATCTCGACCAATGAACCTTCGAAAATTCATCCCCTTCCGTATATCGCCAAATAGATTAAGCTTACTTTCTTTCAGAGTGTAATGTTTGCCATCTTTTCATCATTTGAAGATATTTTGAAAGCACGGCCTGAATGCTTAGTTCTGTTCGACAGAAAAAAGCACATCTCATATTTATATATGATAATGTCTGCTGGTGATAATGAAATAAATGAGAATTAAGAAGTCAACGGTAATGCGGTTATTGCTATACAAGCATTTACGTTAATGCCTAGGTACCATTCCATTTCTGTTCCTTTATATTGCAGGCTTTTCGAATTTGCATACCTAAAACAGATACACCTTCGAGTAAAGTTCAGTGTTAACATGTCGTTAAGTGCCCTGGGTTAGAATTCTTCAAGCACATTCATTAAATATTTAACTGTTGGAACAGTTTCTATAAACATTGCCACTATTGGCTTTTCATTGAAGTACAAAGTAGCCTTAATGTCAGTAAAAATATAATTATACTTTACAGAGTAGCTGATTAGTTGTAGACATGAGAGATAGACAGATTTTGGAAGTTTAGGATAGACTTCCGATGGAACAAAATAGAGCTCATTTCACAGGATGATAATTCAAAAGAGGATTACACATGGGTATGTACAGTAGCCAACGCTACTACATTTCACACTCAAAATCACTAGATAAAAAATACAGTAACTACATGATGTAAACCAAACATGTACATCATTATTCGAGTAAACAGTTTCAAAGTTAAACATGTCGCCACACAGAAACATAATATTTACCACAATGAGATATGCAAACTTTTCGGAACAGAAGAATTTGATAACCTAGTTAGGGTTACTTACATAAACAGGATCAATTGTCCGCCCCCCCCCACCTTAGTCATGACTTCATTGAGCCTTAACTATTGTTCTCAACACTGCTGAGGCAGAAATGTTTTAACAGTTGAACGTACACCGATCCTCTGTTTATCTCGAAAGGTGATTTATCCCGAACACGATAGTTAAAAAGTTGGAGTGATGGCACGGCTTATGTAGCCATGCTAATTGCCACATATTTGTTCTTAAGATGAAAGAAACTAGTAAATAAAAGGCTTGAGAGACCAAATTAGTAGTGTCGATATACCAGCTTTGAACACTAGTGTCTGAGTAGTTCTAAATATGAAAGGTGATCACTGCAATCCTATGCATCGTTAAATATGTCAAGAAGAGTACTCTGTCTCACTTACAGGAAAAGTAAAAATTGTGCAGACTGATGTCGTAAAAACAGATACATATTTAACTAGTAGGACTACTGTGCAATTTATACTATTACTATGTTAAAATACAATGATGCGTTAACTCACCTTGTTGGATAGACGAATTTACGAACACAGAGTTCTGGTTATTACCGCATATAGGGTTATTAGTCCGTCCTGAGTTGTGACTAGAAAACGCATTTTGCTGAGACTTAACTATTGGCCTTCCAGGTGGTGCTGAAGAAAAAGCGTTCGGAGGTTGTAACCTATACATTCCAGGATATAAAACTAAGTCCATATAAGTAAACAAATATTAGAATTACCTGGGGAATGGAGTTGTGGTCTAGAACGAGCAGCTGGGTCCCTTGTACCATTCCGAAGCTGATAAAGAAAGCCTATTGAATAACTAATAAAAGAAACTCATATACCTTGTGGAGTTGAGTTGACGTCAGAAGCTGAGTTCAGAGGTATATCTGGATGCTGAAGTTGATTAATACGAGCGCTTGCGGATACAGCATTAGCCTAGAATGAGAAATAATGGGTTAGACAAACGAAGAAACAATATAAATAAAAAAAACAAAACAAACAAGCACAAACCATTGCTTTCAGCCATCGGTAAGTCTGAAATAAAGATATGACCAATATTAAGTTGAAAATTCTCAAGAATTAGCCTTAATGTTTAGCATTACGTACCATGGAATTTGGAAGTAGTCCAAAAGGTGAGATAGAGCTTTGCATATCCATAGGTTGAGAACTGACTGGCTTTGGATTCTGTTTCCCTACTAATGACCGCAGAAAAGGTACCCAACTGGCAGTAGATTCTGATTGAGATGTATGACTCAAGTTTTTCGGAAACCCAATAGGGTTACCACGAGACTTAATGGCTTGATCATTGATCAGCAAAGGATCCGAGATTTGGGGCAACGAGCCGACAGTTTTGTCAGTTGGTCTGCTTATACCCGATCTCATCTCGGCTTCGATCTCTTCAACAGTGTATACCTTACGCTTTGACTCTAAATATAAGATTTTATTAATATTTATGCACCACTTACCACTCAAGTCGTTTTTCGTTTGTTCAGTATTTGACGAAGGGATGGAGGAATTTCCAAAGAGGATGGAGCGGAGTTTATTTTCAGCCTGAAGAGCTACGAAGATCAAAAGACTTCAAAAGGCTTACCAAGATTTTGCTCAATATTGGATAAACCCGAGGGTTTTACTTTCAGCAAATTCAATAACTGCTCATTTATGTTATTCAGTGGGGCTGTATTATGCGGATAAGTGCTACTAGGGCGCACATTTTCATCCGACTGCTCATTCTTTTGGAACAGATGTTTAAATCGGCTACCTCGGTTTTCATTTTCATGATGATCTGCGCCACCACTAGAAACTTTGTTTGCGTTTTCTGGGAACACGGTCGACTTGGACGCTGAAGATTCGCTGTCCGGTGTATCTGCAACAATGCCCTCTGTTTTTCCTGGCTTATCACCATCGATTTCTCTTGGTAGAAAATCCATTCTGTCTGAAGTTTTGGCAACTAAGTTATTTTCGCAGTCCAGTGATTCTTCTAGAATACCTCCAAGCTCAATTGTATCATTGACTGTAGTGGGACCCTCTGAAAACCATTCAGGCTCGTCTTCACTATGAGAATTGGATGTCCGATATTCACGACCAAATCGGTCCTCCTTGTTATGATTTTTCACGTAAGACAACCCTTCAAGTTGTCTAGCAGAGCCACGACCCCGACTGGAATATCCAGAACCACGACTATCATTACACCGGTAATCTCTTTTGTAGTCACCAACTGCTTTAGGATGATGCTTGTCTGGAGTGCGGTGTTCAACAGCAAACTTAGGCCAACGAGCAGATGTGCTCGTATCCGTTGCTTCACGCCCTGGAGTTTGCTGAGAAACATGACAGCCTGTATTCCAGGTCCGTTTTTGAGGACCAAGAACTATGTTAGACGTGTCTCGTGGTTTCTCTATAAATGCTACTAGCTAAAGAAAGTGAGTAACATACCACCAGCCTGAGATTTTGAAAGCGAATTCAGTCTTGCCCTCCCGCGAGTTGAACGTAATATTGACGCATTTATGCGAGAGAATTCATTCGCAAACTCTGCTGAAGAAATAGGGTTCTTTTTAACTTCCAAAATTTCCGCCTGCAAAACCATGCTTCAGTTTTAGCTGAAACTTACGCGAGTGTATCTGACTCGAGTGGTCTTAGTTTCACTTTGGCCATCTGACTCACAATTTTCCATTCGGAAACACAAGACCGGCCAAAGCGTTTAACGAGTGACCAGACAACCAATCCTGACGGAAAGCCTCCTGTTCCACCAACTTAATACAAACACATCCAACCAAAAAATTACAAAAACCCGCTCCAAAAGTGGAAAGGTACCGCCGTTGTTGAGTTTCAAGAGTGAACCGGTATCAATCGTATGAAAGTGTGTGAGCTCCTAACCTTGACACATATTGTGGTAGTGGGGAATTCACGTCTCTGTTTTTGATAAATAAAATCTAAATCCTCACAGTCATTTCTTCCTCTGACTCGTGAAATATTTGGAAATGACAGTTAAAATATCTGATTTACTATTACAATTCCCCTAGGCTCTTAGTGGTACACAGGACCTCAGCAGCACATCTTCACTTCGCTACATTCTCCGCATTCTAAAGTATTTGGCCCCCCGGTTACCCACAAGTTTTTGTTTCTCCCTCACCCTCGGACGCCCGGGTTGTTTTTTTCACACTTAAGTTCCACTCCATGGACTATAGCGTATAAAAGCAAACATTTTTGACTCCGTCCATCCTTATCACCATATATGCATCCGAAGTGTTTTTTCTTTCAGTCGTTCACTATTTTCACCCTAAATACGTTTCCAAGCCCTTGTGGCGGCACATAATTTCCCAGAAGTATTAGTTATCGTTTTCGTCGACATGTTGAGCTGAAGGTGAGCGCCCAACCACTTCTGTCATTCAACACAATGTTATTCCAAGTTTGGTGTATCGTTCATGATCCCTATCTAGGAATCGTCGCACCTCGAAGCTTCTTTGCCCGAAACATATCTGTCATCTCACAGTTACAATTAAGATAACTTAATAAACGTTTTTACTGTAGTAACGCTTGCTCAGTAAGGTGAATTGTTTTTTATAGATGTCTGAATGAATATTTTTTGATAAATTTAAGAATAATTGTAAACCGCTACCTGCAGAATGCTGTGAAAGGCATTAGACCGTTTTCCACCGTTTTCAATATGTTTCATGTAACATGTCCCACCTACATCATATATCATTCGGAAAACGAAATGAACAGTCATTCATGTGAATGTCCTAAGAGGGAAGATTAAATTAAACAAGAGATTCAAACTTATCGTTTGAAGAAAGGTCGGATCGTCCGAATCTATTTAAGTTCTATATCGGTGGCTGGTGTTTGACCTCATTCATCCATTCCAGTTACATCAGTTCAGTGGGTCATAGTGGCTCATTTGAAGCGAGACTGGGCAATCACTTACCAGAGGGTCGATATAATAAATATAGCCTGAAAGCCCACTATCCTGTATGCTTTGAGGTCCGAAACTCGGGGGTCTGAATTTCCAAAGTCAGCATAACTATTTAAAATTGTTCCTATCAGATCAGAGTAATTAACTCAGGCAATGTTTCTTCCCTAACACTCTCTCTTCGGGAAACCGTCTGAAAGAGACCACTTTGACCAATAATGTGACCGTGTGACCGCTATGTAGCAGCAAATAATCTATTACTAAGGTAGCCTCTAGCTTCTTTTTCAAACACCATTAGATAGGTTACTCGACTGAGGACTAAATATCGATTATTGGCCAAATCGCCCAGTTGGCCAAATACATGGGACAAGGTTCGTACTTGTGATAACAACTTATTTCTGTACAAAAGTACGTTATATACAACACTGCGTACTTTAGAAAGTTAGGCTGACAAATAACTGATTATACTGGCTACATAAGTTTTGGTTTCTAGGCTGTGTAGCTGTGTTAGTACAAGTATTCTGCCGCAGCCCAAAACGCATAAGGTATAAGTAACTGCATGATGTTTAGAGTAAAATTTATTGCCCATTATCGTATTAAAACATTCATACGACTTCCAGACTGCTTTTGCAATCTTCTCAGCTACCACCAGTGTTATTCTGTCAAAATATTTACTCAGTCGCCAACAGTTAGTTACTCTGTTTTTTTCTCACCGTAGCAGTGCTGCCTCCCGACTAGGTTCCGTTATGAGTTATCACTATTATTATTCCCATAGGTTCCTAAAAGAACTAAGAGCTCTCCACTTTATTCTGTTCTCTGCAGTCTTCCCTGGCTGGTTCTGCGTATGCTCGTAAGCTCTCGTTCCCTCTCCACGTCCCTCTTGGATGCTTACCTCGTCGTCTCCAGTCGGATTCCACTCAGAAGAATGGTTCGTTATGTCAGTCTATGGTCCAATCCGTCTCCATTTCCTCCAGCGAATCTGTTAGGCAATAAATTTTTAGTTAGCTCGCTCCCAGAGTCTTACATTGCTAATCGCTTTCCAGACATGAAAACTAATTTTAAAAGCTCTGCTCTTCCTTACTAGCCACCAGAATTTAGATAACCTGAATTTGATCGATGAGAACTGGGACTGTGATTTCCTCAACCAGAGCACTAATTTGACCGCCGTAGTATTAAGTCTGTAACCATCAGCTATGAGGATTTCTGTTCCCAGTCACCCTATACCATAGTTACAGCCATACAACTGGGTATGTCAGCCAACTCTCAGAAGTTGTCTATGTCCAGCTCTTACTACGCTGAACCTCACGCTGTCCCTCGAAGACTTTCAGAAACGCTTTGTATTAACCAACGTGAAAACCAAAACACTGATTGGCGACCCAAGAATCCTTTATTCTTACGCCAACATATCACCAACACTAATGTTATTACAGGTCTGAGAACAAATGTTATAACAATAAATCACGATAATACTTCTGATAGTTTTCTGTCTTCCTCCGAACAGCGAATGATGAAACGATGACTGCCATATTGATGACTCCCGCGAAAAATATGGAGGAGTTGGGTTTGAGCAAACAACCATGAATTGATCGTTCAATCTTCAACTACATTGACAGGGGAATATCTCCAAAACTCACTCGACGCTGGCAATGGGTTGACTTCTTTGCCGCTGATTCTCCGGAGGGTGTAGCATCCCTCTTTTATGCGAACGTTGGCCTGTGTTTGAGTACTGCAGCTCCTAAGAAGTTAGCAAAATTACATCAGGGCCAAGCTGAGTGCATTTCAAGGGCACACCACAACAAGTTACGGAAGCTGGAGATACAGCATTATTTCGCAAAGGATATATCACTACTTTACCCGTTCCATTAGTCGCTTGAAACATCAAAAGTTCTTACAAAGCTTACAATCCAAGTCACTTAAACAACCAATGTAGTTGGCAGGGGGCATCCCCTACTTATTCCTTAACAAAGTATTCTACAGTAACCATGCCACAATCTGTGAACTTTTGGATGAAAGGCGTGCGAATCATGGTCCAGGAACACACGCCCTTAGTGAAAATACACCCCTTGCTACCTACTCTCTCAGTAGCCTAGTGTTTACCAGTCAGCTGTTCAAAGCCTTAGACCTTCTACTAGCAGAGGGTCAGGTGCCCCCACCTGAATAATTCTCGAACACGGTAGGAATAAAATTTCTCTTCTTTTTTAAGTTTTTCCCCTATCTTCGGACACTAGCAGTTACCCTGATGAGTCGAAAACTAGTTTTATTATTCCACGCTAAAAATCGATGATAAGGCCAACGCTGACAATCATGGACGCGTAAATGTAACCCCAGTTATCTCAGGAATCATAGAGAGATTTGTCAGACATCAATTATCGAATAATCTACTCAGATAAAATCTTGTTAAGTAGTCTCAAAACGAATTTTTCAAAAATAGTTCCTGCGTTACTTGTCAATTTGGCAGCTGCATCACAAACGGTCGCGAAGTGTGCGAACTAGTTACTATTCTCCACTTAAATATACCCATAGCTTTTAACATGGTTACTCATAGTATTCCCTTCTAGAAGCTGTAGTGATGTGGAATTCATAAGCCATTACTTGAATGATTAAAGTCATTTCTAGGCAATGGGGTTCAGATAACTAAAGTCAAATCTGTGTTGTCTTGCCTCAAGCAGAGCACACTTGAGGCTGCATAGGGTAGTGTACTGGAACCACTTGTGTGTTTAATCTACACTAACAACACTTATGAGTGCTTCCTTTAGGTAAACCACTACTATATACTGACGATCCCAAAGCCATCTACTTCTGCTATAGTCATGAACTAAACGATATGATAATTAAAACACGTCTTGAACTAGGGAATTCTTGCATCATGCTGTGATGCGTCCTCTCTGAAGACTAACACTGACAGATACGGTCGGATTTGCACTGACGACAGCAATCCAGATCAAGCTCTTGAAGTAAATGGACAAAACTGTCCAAGCCCAACTCACCTGTAGAGCTCAGTAACAGATACTTTAGTAACTTAACGTTCTCTGAGCACACCGATTAGAGTAGATGTAAAACGTGTAGGCTCCTAGGTTGTATCGTCCACAACTTCTTTTGTTGTGGAACAAGAGCTTTAGAGTTTTAAAACACTGCCCGTCCATTCTTAGTAGACTCCTATAGAATGAGAAACTTAAATTGGAGGAAGTTTAACAACAGTTTATTTTAAGAGCTTTTGGCTCATAATGCGGTTTTGACTACTCTAAGCCTTGCAGCAGACTGAAAATTGAACAACTCTAGTGGGGACGACTGAAGCTAAACTTCATTTTCCTCTACAAGTTAACCAACATTCTCCTGCATTACTCCAGGCCAATGACTAAATCTACCGGTCCAATCAGAGACAGTCTAGGAAATCATGAAAAACTAGTTGTTATAGGGCATTTTCAGAGTAACATGCGGTCCAACAACTTAAATAAGTTTTCGGAAACATGGAACAGATCACCAATCTCAATGTCATCGAATATTGAACGATCAATTCATGGTTGTTTGCTCAAACCCAACTCCTCCATATTTTTCGCGGGAGTCATCAATATGGCAGTCATCGTTTCATCATTCGCTGTTCGGAGGAAGACAGAAAACTATCAGAAGTATTATCGTGATTTATTGTTATAACATTTGTTCTCAGACCTGTAATAACATTAGTGTTGGTGATATGTTGGCGTAAGAATAAAGGATTCTTGGGTCGCCAATCAGTGTTTTGGTTTTCGCGTTGGTTAATACAAAGC